AGAAAATTGAAATTTTAAAAAAAAAGTTTTAAAACAAAACTTTTTTTTGTGCGGGGTGGGGGGCAGTGGGGTGGGGATGGGTGGTGCAGGAAAAAAAAACAGAAAATTAAAATTTTTTAAAAAAAAGTAAATATTTTTTTGGGGTGGGGTGGGGTGTAAGGTGGGTGGTGACGGAAAAAAAAACTGAAATTTGAAAGGAAAAAAAGAGAGTTTTAGAAAATGTTTTCCCTTCTCTTGATGAGGAAAATATTTTCCTCCAATTGGAGGAAAATGAGTTCATATGGAAAATATTTTCCAAAACATTTAAACCGACCAAACATGAAAAAATTAAAAAATATTTGCCGCAAAATATTTTCCATCATACCAAACACACCCTTAAAGTATACCTATTATACACAAAATACTAACATGAGCCGTATGTCTAAAGTTTAGAACTTCAGACCCGCAATTTTTAACTTCCGACCCACGAGTCTAAAGTTGAACTTGAAGCAATTAGACTTCAATTTTTTTATAAAACTCGGTTATTCTTTAAACATGCGTCTTAAATACGGCTATTTATGCACTTGCCCTGGTATTATTTTGGGATCTAAGCACAAATAACTGGTCGAATTTATTATTTTTTCGTGCTAATGGAATATGCTAACTATACATAGTTATACATATACTCTATTATTAATTTATCAAGCGTACATATATTATACATATATCAATTATTTTTAGTTTAAACGGTTGAGTGAACGGCTATTTAGGTCAATTCTTCATGTTACCTGAACTTTGATTCACAAATCCTTGATAGAATTGGCCCAAATAATGTACGCAGGCCTAATTATACAAGAGGGGCAATCTCTACTTGAATTTCCAAGGATAAAAGCCTAATAACTTGAAAACCAATTAGAAACAACAAGAAGGGCTGCGCAACAAGGCCCTAAAGAAACAATGGGCTATCGACCTGTGAATTGCTTCAATCGAAATAAAAGTTTTTTTCGGAAAATTTTATGGCATAAAAACATAAGAAGAAAACGAGTGATACATGTTTAACTTATGTATTGTTTTTTAATTATTTTAAATATTTTAATTTTAATTTTAAAATATTAGATTGATCTAATCTAATTTAACTTTGAAGTTTAATCGTATTAACTCTGAAAAAGGGAAACACGAAACTAAAAAGGAGAGGGAGTATAGCAAATTGAATCTTATTCCAACTTTGGGTAACGTTAATTCTTAGGAAGAATGGCATTTACTAGTAATTTTTTGAATCTTCTTCCAACTTCCACAAAAAAGAAATCTAAGAGAAAGACAAAACTTAAAACTAAAAAACTTATTCAATTACAAAATTTCAGTTGGTTAGAGCATCATCTTTTGCTTTTTATTCTTTCTGATCTCATGTCATTTTTTAATTCTAGCAGCATACATGCTCCTTTCTCGTCCTCTCATTTGGGATTTGTTTATATACTTCTTCTCCCCATGTAAAAAGAAGAAAAAAAAGAAAAGAAATTTCAAACCCTCTACCGACAAATACAAATACATAACAGAAACTACCCCAAAAAAATACATCCAATTCTTTATCTAATCCTTTTCTCAGCAAAAAAAAAAGAAAAGAAAAATGAAGAAACTTTGTTAGCAACTTTTTTGTTTGACTTCCATATCTCTTTTATGCAATATGCATGTCATGCCATGCATTTAAAAAGAAACTTTTGATCTCTTTAGTCATTATATATCATCGAAAGTCAAATGATGTTTTTCCAAGTTATTGAATTGGTAATGGTACGTACTACATATTTTCTATGCATGGGCCTATTTGTATTCCGTCGACATCTCATTCATAAATGCAAATTGGGAAATAAAATCATACTCATTAGATATATATAGGGCAAAAGTAATGAATTCAGTGAAATAACGGGCAACAGACGAATCCAAGTTTACATATCTCCTCTCCCCACTCCCACCTGCCACCCCCAAAATATCAAGAGAAAGAGAAGGACAAAGAAAAAGAAGACAATAACAAAATCAAGTCTTGTACTTTAATTTGGTTGCTTTAGAGGAAAGTTGAGCCCTTTTTACTGTTAATGAAAGCTCTCGGTTCTCGTTCTGAGAATGAAAAAATTAAATTCCAATAGGAGGTGATTTCTCATTTAACGAGCCTTATACGACGCGATGTCATCGATTGAGACTCCAAAAAAGTCTTTTTGCCTATTGCATGAGCCATGCATAATTAATAGTCACCTACTACCGGGAGAAAAAGAAAAAACAGTCAAGTAGGGTTTTGTTTCTTTTTTCGTCGCTATTATTTATTTGTTAATATTATATACAATAATATATAAAATCAAATACCAAATGATTGAAGAGGTAATTAAATTGCAAGGTGTTCATGATAAAACTTAATAGTGCACCTGCCAAAACTGACAGTAGCCTAATACGTCATGACCTAACAATTCTAACCTCTATATAAATTATTATTCTTGTATCGT